CAAGGACTACCTGTAATGAACACCAGAGGGAACCTTTTGGATGACTGCTATTCTTGTTTACTTTTTTTTTTTGCAGAAAACCTCGTGCCAAATATCTTTTCAGAACTTTTCTTTGTATTGCAGCTGCTAACAGCAAAGGGAACTTCCTTTGCAGAAGATAGGGAGAGTGACATGGGATTTATGGAACAGAATACAGGTCAGACATGATATAAGAATCCTTGGATGTCATATGTGATATGTATATTATAGCACATACTATAGTAAACAGGATTCCACTAAGCAAAATAAGAGATTTTGGGAAAGTTTCATTTAAGTGGACTGAACAATTTATTTTTAGCCTAAATAGCAATAGCACTTAGATTTACATACCGCTTCACAGCCCTCTCTAAGTGGTTTACAGAGTCAACATATTGCCCCCAATAATCTGGGTTCTCATTTTACCAACCTCGGAAGGATGGAAGCCTGAGTCAACTTTGAGCCAGTGAGAATCAAACTGCTGGTAGCCAGCAGTCATCAGAATTAGCCTGCAATACTGCATTCTAACCACTACACCACCATGGCTCTTTTGCTCATTACAAAGCTGCAGAAATTATAACTTCCCACTCTATCTAAAAAACTGAGAAATTATGATTAAAGTCTTACTAGGCATGTTATGTTGCAAGGCAGCTTTCAACTTCCCAATACTTCAGTATGTAATAGGAATCCATGTTTAATATCTAGATTTCTGGCTTATTTTCTCATTTGGGCAACAAGCGTATTTAAAATAAAAATTCTGAACAGTTGATGCTATTTACTGAGAAGAGTTTTGTAACATTGTATAATTTCTTTGGTAGTTATTCTTTCTTATGTGTTAGTGTCTTTGTTCTTGACCAACCTGAATTCTGTGGGATGAGTTCTCTCAAGTGCTTTTTTTCCTATTTTGTTTACAGATTTGATTGAGAGGCAGCACTTTCACAGTATACACAACTGTGTTTACTTTGCTGTGCAAGTTTTGGATTATCAGTTTGAGTAAGTGCAGTGATTTAGCCGCTTTCATAAGAAAGCAGATACTTTCACACCTGGTATTTATTTCAAACTGTTCATAGACTGCATAACTTTCCTATTATTTTGATTACTTATTTACCATAAATTTATCTCTTTATATCACACAACTCTGGGCAATGTAGGGGCACAAGGGGCACAACAGCAACCTTGGCATATAAAGAGCTCACATTCAAAACAATTCAGAAGAAAGAAAAGATGGCTATCATTCTTTCTCCTTTGGGATCAAAGCCCCACTTAGAAAGGAAGATTTTCAGTAGCTTCCTAAATCTTACCTGGGCAGGATGTTGCCCCCAGCATAGCTCCAGTCAATGGGTGACAGATCTTAGAATGCAGATTGTCAGTGGAGGATATAAACAGTAGCAATGCAGTGGGATTTATCCTCTTTGGATTTAAATGCAGTATCACAATGTGCTTTTCTTCTTGATTGCTGTTGTCTTGGCAGAATTGTTTCTCATTTAGAGAAAGGGACCCTGAAGCTCCTGGCTGAGAATGACAGAATTGCATCTTTTTCCCTTGGCTTGCATGAGAGGCTAACGGCAGCCTATGAAAACACAACAGCAAAGGTAATATGAAGCAAATATCAGAAGGGCTTTGCAAAAATTCTTGGAAATTACTTCTTGGAGACAAAAAAGATTGCTTCTTCAGTTTGGTAGTGCCTGTGTTGTTTATTTTCTTGACATATTTTTTGTGCATACAGCTTTTTCAAGTGTGCACATGAACCTTCCTCTGCTTTGTAAATGGCAGTTACAATTGAGGGAATTAAGACTAAGGGAATACTATTAGAATAATAGTAATAGTATAGTATAGTAAGAGCAGCATGTGAAATAACAAAAGCATGTTTTGTTGGTTAGTGCGCTTAAAATTGGTCATTTGATTGCACTGCTAGTTGACTTAAATTTATATTTTAGCAATGAATCTAAGGCATAGTAAAGAGAACAGATTGTAATTCCAACTTTAAGGCTAGATTCTGTATACTTTGCTTAGAAAGAGGTGTATATTGAAATGGAAACTGCTTACTTATCATTATGTGCAATTAACAGGTTTACCTCTGGTTGCCTTCATGTGTGCAGTCAGTTTCTTTTCAACCAGAAACTGACAATCGATCTAACTTTTCCAGTGATAAGGCATTTCATATATTCAAGAAGCAAAGGTAAGAACTCTTGGTTTCCCTTCATGAAATGCTGCAATAATAATAAACATAATTTAAAAATAATTTAAAAATTGTTTTAATTGCTAAATTTGAAATTATGGACACCTTGTTTACAAGAGAATCACTTCCATATCCATATTCTTGGTTCATTTGAATATTTTGTTGTTTAATAATAGACAAAACTGTTATTACAAAACAAGAATAGTACTAATGTACTACTCCATCTCTCCTTCTTCCATATGCCTATTGCCACAGCAGCTCCTGCGTTTCATCATTACACTATGAGGCCATCTTTGAAAAAGATTGCAAAAGGTGCTTAGGTAGCAGTCCCCAACCTTTGTGGCTTGGTGGCCTGACTGGGGAAGGGAAAGAGGAACTGGGCTGTGATAGCGATGGACTGCTGCATGTGTGTGCGTGCACATGCACAGCTTCACTCACGCAAGACAGAAGTAAAGACTTAGGGGGCCGGTTTCACACTCCTTCAGGCTTGTCCATGCCAAAAGCTTTTGCAAAGGAATGGAAAGCCTGAAGCAGCATGAGATCACTTCCCTGAAGCCTTTCATCCAAGCTTTTGGCACGGAGAAGAAAAGCCTTTGGGGGCATGGTTTCACGCTCCTTCAGATTCACTGAGGCTGCCCGATGCTCCCAAAGCAGATCGGGTCTCCCGCTCCTCCTACTCAGCCTCTGCCTGCTCCTCCCACTTAGCCTCTGCTCTCATTGCTCTGCTTTTGGCGCATTGGGAGCATGCAAGAAAGAAGAGAAGCCTTTGGGGTGCAAGTGGAGCTGCATGCATATACTGGCCCACCTCTTGTGTCGCCAGGTTCCAAATAGGGTATGTCCCGGTAAAAGATGCCCAGTAGTTGGTCATGGCCCGGGAGTTGGGGACCCCTATGCTTTGGGATGATAGTGTTTACTGATCCAGCAAGTTGACTCTTCTAGGTCCAGCCAGACCCAGTATTGACAAGATCCCTAATGGAACCCTTTTAAACCTCTTGGTAGGGACACAGTGGCTCATTTTAACCAAACGTAAACACCTCCCTCTCTCAGGGGCAGCCAATAGATGGATGCTAAATATTTCCAAAGCTGGTTCTGGGTTAGCAATCAACGAGAAAAGCACAATTGCAAAGCAGGGATTCAAATTTTAGAAAAAGAGAGTAGGAGATGTTCTGCTGCTAAAAAACTAGCTTTGTCCTGTTGGAATCCAACAATCACCTAGGTGCATCCTCTTACTGATGCAGGCTAGGCATAACAATGAAGACCACTTAAAGTAAGTATTTGAGGATAGTGAAGCACATCACCTAATGCTTGTTTCTAGTTTCACAAACTCTAGATTTAAGAAAAAGATTTCATAGTAATTAAACTTGAAAGTTATGTGTCATTTATGACCAGATTTCCCCCCTCATTTTTAATCATTTTTAAATTAATTAATTTAAATTAATCATTTTAAAAAATAATACTTTAATTTGAGTAATGTTACCAGTGTTCTTCCATACATTTTACTGAATTGCAATAATTGATGCTAATTACAAAAGAAAATCCCCTCTGAAAGAAAAGAAGATAGTAATCTTTCTATAAGAATGTAATTGTTTACTTTTTTGATAGTCTCAAGTTACTTAATTTTCTGTAAATACTCAATTTTCTTTAATTCTTTAAAATACTCAATTTTCTTTAATTCTTTAAAATACTCAATTTTTCTTCTTTCAATAACCTTTATTTTTTTATTTATATTTACCCATTTTTAATATTAAAACAATCCTCTTCTTATTTAATTACCTGATTATCCTGCATTGTTTATTTACTTATTGTTCAATTTGTCTATACCACAATCTCATATTTGTATTGTATATTGGAATGCTAACCTTGTTGTTTTAGTTTATTAATTTTGCATCAAAAAATCTGATGCCTTCAAGAGTTATCATTATTTTTATACATTAAAACCAGTGATATCTACTTCTGAAGAAGTCTATATAACATTGTGCCATAAATACATTTGCTAGGTTGTTTAACTTTACGGAGATCCTTGTAGAATATCTATTTAATTTATTTAAATTTTGCAACAAAAATATTATTGTAAGAATTGGTGAAATTCTATCCTAATTGTGGAACTAATATGCAGATAGAATAATATAACAAATTATGATAATTGTATTTTCAGATATTGACACTAATATGTCTACCTTGTTCAATAGGGATATTTTCTATGAATTGCTGCGAGAATGGGAAGATAACTTCGAAAAAACAGGTTGGGATTTTGAGAAATGTCTAGGAGATAGGATCAGGTAAGAGCTTTTAATTCAACAATTGAATCAGGGTAATTTACAAAAATAGTGACAAGGATAATTAGGAAAGAGTCTTTGTACCTCTTTGTAGCCCAGTAGGTGATAGTGATTATTTTGGAAAGCATTGGAGTATATATGATCTAGTAATATCTCAATACCAAGATTTGCAAGAAATCCCTAGGTATATAACAAATTCATATGGTTTGAAATGGTAAGGTCAGAACTTATAAGAAGCACAGAATCACCCATATTTTTGACAATGACAACAAATGAAATGTAGTTATGTATTAAGAATTTGTTAAAGACGAGATTTAAAAATGCCTCCAAAGAAATCCTGGAACCCAAAGAGAACCAACAGAGGTCCTGGAATCGATTTTCAGAAACAACTTAGTAAATACTCTCTAATTAAAAGGGATTGCGTTGGCATATGGACACTAGTGTAATTTAGTCATGGTTAATGCAGAGCAAATAATTGGCTCTTTCTCTTTTCGTGACTTTATTGGGCAGAGCGTAAATATGAAAATACATTTAGAAAAGTTGTAGGAGGCTTATCAAGTCTCTCTTTCCCCCCCCAAAGTACATTGCAGTGCTTCAGTTTTTCAAACATAACTCTCATGCACTGAGAAAGAGTGACTGAGCTAAGGTCACCAAGTGAGGTTCCTGGATAGAGTGGATTGGGGAGGTGGAGGGAACCAATATGTTACAGTTTCAAATTACTCAAGTTATTTAGAGATTTGTTATTTTCTTAGTACTCGTAGGGATTCTAAAATAGTAACTCCTGATTTATTTATAACTAGCTGATAACCTGGAGTTGCCTGGGTATTTATTTATAGGGGGAAAATGTTTGGACCAAACATAATTTCTAATGTTGGATTTTCCCCCTTACCAGAGGGAGCACCCTTGTGGAATACTGTGAAGCTGTTACCATGGCAACTCTACTGCGCTGTAGAGTAGAAGCCATTTTACGGCAGTACAGTAGAAGCCATTTTAAGGCACAACAGACTGTATCTTAACAGAACCCCCCCCTCCCAGGGGTGTTAGGGGTGTCTTACCCTCCACAATATTTTTTTCCAGAGAGTAAGTCATCTGTCTACCAAGTTTGGTTTAAATTGCTCAAGGTGTTCCAGAGTTATGCTGGAACATATACACACATCCACATCCACAGAGAGAAACACAGCCAGATATATAGATAGATGGCTAGATAGATAGACAGACAGACAGATATAGATAAGAGATATAGATAGATAACAGTCACTTGTTTCTTATTTTGCAGAGTTATGATGGCACATCTTTCAGCAGCTTGTAACTATAGTCACTTTGCCCGGCTCTTTCAGAAACAGCTTCTTCAGGTAGGTTTGTGGTTGCATTTTTTAAAAACAAATAAATATGTTTTTCTTTGTAATAGCAAGATATTTATGATAACTAAACCTGTCGATGTTTGTGGGATCCTTGGTGCTCTCTGAGCAAAATATTGTTTTTTTGTCTCTTATTTTTTCCCTTTCTGTTTTCAAAGATGTGTAAAGGATCAGTTGTTGGAGGCACAAATTGGGGAGATACTCCAGACCAGGATGTCCTTAACATGTTAGGTCCAGATAATCTGAACCGACTGAAGAGGCTGCAAGAGAGATTTCTTGTTCCTCAGAGCATCAGAGGACCTTGTCCTCCTCCTTCTTTCCCAGGATGCCAACAGTTTTTCAGGGACTTCATCCTCAGTGCAGGGAGGTGAGCTGCTTTTGCCACTCACTTAAGCTGGATATTACTAAGTAAAGGCATTTAATAGTTTTGCATTTGGTTCTGACAAGTTTATTTCTCCCCCACAAGGTTTTTATTTTTTATTACAAATCTTGTCATTATTTTATAAACTAAGTGTTGTCTGGATCTTTTCTTTTACATCCTCTCATATACATAATCCATTTTACATTGTAGTTCTGTTTCCAATTTTAGCCATATTATTCTCTTTCCATATTTTTCATCTTATTTTCTTCTTAGTACATAAACAATATCACTAATTGCCCCTTCAAAGTTAAACCAAATTATCATTTCATATTTCATCTGTTGGTCTATTTTACTATAAGCAACATACACCCTCAAGTTCAGTTTTTACATAGAGAACATTTAACTTACTTAATTATTCACAATTAACAATGTTACTATAATTCCCTTATATCTTAATTAACTACATGCCGGTAACAATATTAATACAATTCCCTTTAATCTACTGATATGTCCCTTCTTTCCAGTGGTGGGTTCCGGATCCCGGTGCAACCGGTACGGTGCAACGGGGCCGGGTGTCCACCACATGAATGTGCACGTGCACACACACGCAGCATTCACATGCATACTTACCGCCTGCAACGTCTCCGCGACGCTCCAGCTGCTTGGTGGAGCATCGTGCGGGCGACGTACGCTCCGTGCATGTGCGCTGAAACCCCGAAAACCTCAAATACCGGTAAGAAGCGTGGGAGGGCAGGTGGGCCCTCTGGAACACCATACCGGAACAATACCTGGTGCTCCTGGCAGGCACTGGTACGCCAACACCGGGGCATACCGGTCGTAACCCACTACTGCTTCTTTCCCTTCCTCCTCCTCCTCCTCTAACCATTTTCTCTTGGTCTCTTCCACTTCTTATTAATTTTCTTCTTTTCTGACTGGCAAGTTTCTTAAGTATGCAACACAAAGTGCTTTGGAGGAATCCCTAAAGGAAATTTGTGAGTTTGTAGAAGTGAGAAAGACAGACTTATAAGTTATTTAAATACAGACAATTCTCTACTTACAGTTCATTTAGTGACTGTTCAAAGATACAATGGCACTGAAAAAAAGTGACTTATGACCATTTTTCACACTTATGACTATTACAGCATCTCCGTAGTCATCTGATTTATATTTGGATGCCTTACAACTGGTTGACATTCCTGATGGTTGCAGGGTCCCGGATCATATACCGTATTTTTCAGAGTATGAGACACACCTTTTTCAAAAAAGAGGCTGAAAATCTGGGTGTGTCTTATGCACTGAATACAGCATTTTTTGTCTCCTGAAACCCCACCCCCTTCACCAAAATGGCCATGTAGAGCCTCTAGGAAGCTTTTAGAGAGCTCCTGGGGGCTGGGGAGGGCAGAAATGACCATTTAGGGGCCATGTTTTGCTCAATTTTACCCCCAGTCCCGAGGAGCACTCTATAAGCTTCCTAAAGGCTACCCATGCCCTTTTTTAATGAAAAACGCACCCTTTTTTTTTTTCAAAAAACGGGCCCGTTTTCACGAAAAACGGACCATTTTTTGGTTGTTCCCCCCCTCCCCCCTGGAGCACTCTGCACGATCCCTAAAGGCTATTCATGCCTTTGGGGGAAACGGGCCAGTTTTCGCGAAAAAAGGGTCGTTTTTGGGAGGTTTGCAGAGTGCAAAAACTTTTTTTAAAATTTTCCTCTTCAAAACCTTGCTGCGTTTTATACTCTGAAAAATACGGTAATCATTTTTTGACAAGCAAAGTCAATGGAGAAGCCAGATTCAATTAACAACCGTGTTACTAATTTTAACAACTGCAGTGATTCATTTAACAAATGAAGCAGGCAAGAAAAGTCATAAAATAGGCCAAACTCACTTACAAATGTCTCACTTAGCAACACAAATTCTGGGCTCAATTGTGATCGTAGGTCAAGGACTCCCTGTATATGCATACATTCAAATCTCATTCCCACTTTGATTTTTTTTTTTAAGCTACCGATTTAATCAACACCTGGTAGACAGTTTGTGCCTGCAGATACTTGAGTTGGACAGTTTTGCCTTGGTGGAACATGAACCCAATGATGGAGAAGCAATGAGCGAACAGGTAGATCTAATTCACTGAGCTCTATTTAAATACCTTTGTTGAGTCAGTTCTTTGTTTGGCTGTTTGAATGGAGTGCCTGCAATTCTTGTTAAAATAAATAGAATAATGAGTATAATGATCATTGGAATGCCTCAGAATGCCTTGTTTTAATAGAAATGGGCTATGATGTTTAGCCCCCCCCCCCTTTTTTTTTTTGCAAATACAAGTGAATTTATTTGAGTGGAAAAGGAAAACTGAATGTGGACTTTATTTCAGTAGACGTAAGCTTTGCATATTTCTGTTGTAAAAGGACAGTTTTCTTCCAGAAGATGGCATTTGCCTTGTTTTCTTGAAGACCTCTGACTGAATGCAAAGAACGATCATCTGAATCCAATATATTTTTAAAATTTAAATGATTGGTTGTCACATACATGCTTTGACTTACAGTAGGAAGGGTTGCCTTGATTGTGAAAAAAAGTATTTTCAGTTGTTGCATCACATATTCAGTTGTGGCAGAGATGAGGAAGACCATTCTTTGAATCTTGCTTTTGAAATTTTCTTAGGTCAGTCTTAACCAGGTCACATTCTCTCTGTCTCAATTCCCCATCTCCAATAGGAGATACGGTTTTACATGTTGTGTGGAACCCTTAAAATAACTATGGCATTTTTGGCATTGTTACTATCCTCTGCTGGATGACAATTCTAAGAAGTTTCACTGGTTTTTCATTTCAGGATGAAAAGAAGCATTTTGCCAGCGTTCTTATGAGTCTTCGACTCCTGGCTAAGTTTGTGGGATTCCTTGTCTTTCTGCCGTATCGCACATCAGAGCCAGCAACTGGAGATCTCTTGGAGTCAGCAATCTCATTAAGGAACCATGTATGTAATCAGCTGCATTTATCTGCAGGAAGCATATTATAAGAGAGGGAGATTTTTTTTCCAGTTCTCCTAACCACTAGCCAATTGATACACACAATTGGATTGTTTCCAAATGCCTTAAGTTAATTAGCCTTTATAATATTAATATACTTTGCTTTGTTGTTATAGATTAAGGCCCACTTCTATTAACGCTGCTAGTGTAGGAGATAAACAGTTAGTTCCTTAGGGGAGGGTCAAATGCATCATCAGTTTGGAGTCACTATGTTCCCACAAGAGACCTAAGCCCAACCCACTCTGAATTCCATTTACCCATTTCTAGTGCCAGTTTGGTTTGGCCTTTAGTAGATCAGATTCTTGTATAAGTAGCACATAATAAACTTTTAGTGCTTTGAACTCACCTCCTGTGCCTGACAGCACCGTCAGATAACAAATATGTATTAGCTTGGTGGACTGGAAAAGGAATATTATGTATTTATTGGTAAATACCACCATGTCAAAAGCTAGCACATCTTCAAAATAGCTTCTATTTAACAAGATAACCTTCGTCTGGAGATACCTTCTAGCAGCAAACCAAGAGTTAATAGAAACATAATGACAGAATTACATCCAAGAGCATAATTAGGTAACCTGATGTCCTCCAGATGTTTTGGATTACTTCAAATTATTTTGAAAAATTTGGAAGTTCTTTAGTATGGTAAATTACCGAGGTGGCGCAGTGGTTAAATGCAGCACTGCAGGCTACTGCTAGATCAGCAGTTCAGCGGTTCAAATCTCACCGGCTCAGGGTTGACTCAGCCTTCCATCCTTGAGGTGGGTAAAATGAGGACCCGGATTGTTGGGGGCAATATGCTGACTCTCTGTAAACCGCTTAGAGAGGGCTGAAAGCCCTATGAAGCGGTATATAAGTCTAACTGCTATTGCTATTGCTACCTATTAAAAACGATTGTGTAGCACTCCATTCCCCCCCAAAATCTTCAAAATTCCATGACTTCTTGATACTTTGTGGTATAATAAAACTAAGTTGGAATAGTTGGCTTCTGGTTTATGGATAATACTTTCCCAATATAGTATTTCTTTTCTCTCTTTCAAGGCCCATCCTGTGCTGGATATTTTCAAGTTGTTGAGACAGTCCATTCAGAAACGATGTCTGGTCCTGACTGTACCCTGGGTGGTTGAATTTCTTTCTCTCATGGATTATATTGCCCCATTTCTTAACTACTATGAGAAAATATTTGCTCTGCTATTGCAGCTATACAGGTAAAAACATATAAAGCAACATTTTGATGAGATTTGCTGCAAGGAAATAAATTTTTGAAACATAGATTGGCGGCATCCTGGTAAAACTTTTGTTGTGACTGACAATGGCAACTTCATTATTCACAAAGTAGTTTAAAGCTTTATTTTACAAGAGTTTTCTCAGGTTGGTGTCCTTCAGACTATGGCTACTTTAGCAAAATTATTACAAACAATTATTACAAAAGGTAGTAGGAGAAAGTATTGAGGAGGCTGTTAGACTCCGCATTAAGCTCAGCTTGCAAAAGTCAATGTAGCATAATATCTTCTGTTTGTAATAATTTCTCCAGCTAGAAATGTTACTCCTTTTTTTTTATAGAACCCTCCCTTCATGTACAATCTCCAGATTGCCAACTTTTAAAATCTAGTTGTGGATTTAATGCTGATGACTTAATAGCCCCAATGTTTTAAGATGTAAGATAAATTATTTATTTAAAGAATAAAGACATAGGAGAAAGCGGTCAAATTAATACAATTGAGGGTTTTTTTTGTTTTCTTCTCATTCTTTTATAGGTACCTGCTACTTTCTGAAGATAAAAAGATGTGCTTCCTGAATAAGCTACTGATCCTCGCAGTTTTAGGATGGCTTTTTCAAGTATGCTACTGGTTGCTTTTTTTTTAGAATTCTTAGACATGAGAGGCCTTTTCCCTTCCATCTTTGTTATTCTATTCTGTTCTGTTCTATTCTGTTCTATTCTGTTCTATTTTCTAGCATTTCCATGTATTTTTTAAAACATGAAATAGAAATACTAGTGTGAGCCTATGGATGTCTCCTCCCTGGAAAATTAACTATTCAGGACTTTCCTTCCAGGTGCCGACAGTTCCAGAAAACTTGTTCTTTGCTGGTGAAGTGAGATCGGAAGAATTGTCTTTGGAATCTGTGACCACAGTTCAGGATCTGGTAAATTTGTGTATATAAGCACCTAGGCAGTGTGTATATGTCCAGCAAATACACACTAGCTAATTGACTAATGCAACTGTCTGCATCATTTCTCACGTAGGAGTGATCTGCAGATGAAAGGTATTCTATGGTTTTTTATATATAATTGGAAAGTTAATCTGTTACTTCCTCCCCCCCACCCCCACCCTATTTCTTAGGATTCTGTGCCGTTGGTTGATCAACAGTTGCTTTATACATGTTGTCCTTACCTTGGTGAGTCTTTTATTTCAGAGTATATTGTGTGGAAAAAAACAAGATTTGAGAAATTGTTCTCTTTTTGTGATTGCAAATAATCCTAATGGAAAAGGTTTACTTGCCTGACTAGAAATCATTATCTGAAGTGATACAGGAATGTTATGTTATGGGATAGTAGGTTATGTTATGCTACACTATGCTACGCTATGCTAATACTATGCTATGTTATGTTATATTATTACAATATATTGTTTTATTACATTATATTATAGTACATTCTTACTTAATGTTCACACCTTGCGATAACATTGAATGTAATTACTATTCTAATCTTAACTTGTGACTGATTACATTTTAAATACTTTAAAGGGTAAGAATGAATAAATGTGTTTATGTCTATTACATCATGTTTGTGTGCTTTAAATACTTCCTGACTTGGAAACTCTTAAAGGAACTGTTTTGAAGCAAGTAGTTGAAGTTAGTTATGTTTATTAAGTATTTATTTATAAAATGTATTGGCCGCCCATCTTACCACAGAGTAACCCTGGGCAGTATTTTTTGTATTTTGTATTAAATGCATAAAGTTGGATATGCAAATAGTGAACTTCCATCTAATTGCATTTAGAGTGGTGATGCTACTTCTTGAATGATAAATCCAAAAACGTAAAGCTGAGCAGCACTGATCTTCCTTTAGAATTGTCCTCTGGGATTTTTGTGACTACAGTTTTCTTCAGATGAAAAATCACGCTGAGGTTGTGTTTTATACCACCACCATCCATTTTGTGCGCCATGTAGTAACACGTAGTATTCCTTTGCCATAGGTGAGTTGAGGAAATTACTGTCTTCTTTTGTGTTGGGAAGTGGAGGAAAAAACGGTGGCTATATAAGAAAAATAACCCCAACTGCTACAGAGGTCTTAGCTCCAAAGCCTTCCCTCACTCAGCAAAAACTTCAGGTAAGGGCATCCTGTGCAAAATCCAGTTTTATAGCAATAATAATCATTGCAGTCAGAACACTATGCATTTGACAGAGGATACTTTAATGCTGCAATCAGGACTCCACCGTGTTCCTTTCCAGTCGTGTGACCTGAGCAGAGTTGTCTTTAAGGAATTGGAATAAAATTCCAGAAGCCATACTCTGCATGTTTTCCCAGCCTTGTTTATGTGCCACAGAAATTCTAAGCTGTATTATAGTATCAACTGAGGAAGCAGGAATGTTGTTAGCACTTGTAACCAAAGAGAAAAAGGCTGAGCCGTGATACTAAACTTCATTAGGCCAATAGGCACGCTAACATCGCCTCTGGCATTTCCAATAAATAGGGCCAAGGGTGGTGGCTGGTTTTTATTTATCTCACACTCTTTCCAGGATAAAATTGTCAATGTTATCGTCTGAATTTTTGAAAGCCTTAATATGTGTGTTTTAAAAAAGCTTTTGAGTTTTCTAGATATATTAGTGTATTGTGAATTTACTTCCTATAGTTGCATTTTGACTCTATGTGGACTTATTTCAATGGACTGTTTTTTTTAAATAAAAACGTGAACATCATATATCCATTTATTTTGGTGACAAGTATGCAGAAGATAGTTAATTCTAGTTGACATAAAGAAGACATAGGCAATGAAGTGAAGAACATTTGAATCTAGTGCTAGTAGGAAAAAGTACAGTCTTGAAAAGTTATATCTTCGCTCTTTTGCAGGGAGGGCATGATTATTTTCTTTTTATTTCTCATTCTTTCTTCCTTCTTAAAAAAAAAGAATGTTAAGGTTAAAAAAGGAACAAGTAAATTACTTTTGAGAGTAGAATGTTTCTCTTCGGAGGCAATAGGTAGGTTGGCGTATTCTAATTTCTTGAGGGTTCTTGCTTTTCTTCTTCTTAATAGGCAGATCTGGAACAAGCCTTCTTTCACAATCAGTCCCCATCTCTGCGGAGAACAGTAGAATTTGTGGCAGAGAGAATTGGATCAAATTGTGTCAAGCATATCAAGTAAGAAACAAGTAATTCCAGACATCTTAATTTGTTTTATTGCTTCTGATTATTTCAAGAGATGGCTGGTTTTTTTTCCTTTTTCATCTTCCAAACGTTGGTTCTTGTAGGGCAACCCTGGTAGCAGAGCTGGTGAAAAGAGCTGAAGTCATTTTGCAAGATGCTATGAAGGCAGAAGATGGCAATCATGACAAATTATTGGATGCAGTATGTTCACAATTGTATCAAGAAGGAGCACAAGCTCTTATACAAGGCAAAGAGTAAGGAGGAACATTATTAGATAAAATTGTTTTCTATTTATCCCTTAAAATGTAGAATGTTTTAGGAGCTTTTCCAGTAGTATGAAACAATTTGATCTCATGCCTCTGATTATAGATCAGAGAATTTTAACAGCAACATCAGTAATTAAAATTCCTCATCATTTGACCTATGGCAGGAGTTGCCATTATGACATTTATTTGCAAATAAATGTGCTCTGCAAAATTCATTCAGGTAGAGAGAACTGTCTTCATTGTACTGTGCATATTTATTTAAGCTCACAATTTTTTTTGTATGGTGTCACTATAAAAGGAGTGAGTGACCTGTAGGATGTTGATGCTCAGTTGCATCCGTTGCAACCTCTGTCTCAGTTACAGAGGTAAACCTCAGTGGTGCAGAGTGCTGCTGCAGATGACTTTTGATGCAGTGATTGTTTTCAGCATTTGACTCTTTGAAGCATTATTTGTCATTGGACTGTATGGTGATACTTTGAAATTCGCACTTTGCTTAATTTTTTTTACCTCAGCAAGAGGAATCCTCATTGAGGCATTCAAAGAGTCATTTCAGTTGGAAGATTCATGCAGTTGCCTCAAAAGCTATCTCCGGCGATCTGAATAGCCATGCTTTCCTCCCGAACCTCTAGCTAAACAAAGGAGCTGTTTGGGTACACACAATAGATAGCTTGAAACAGCTTTCACAGCTTCTATATCTCCATTTTCCAAAAAGTGTTGCCGCTTTAGTGCTTCAAGGAATGGTGCTTCACTTTCTAACCTACATGGTGAATCACATCTTTGAATGCTTTGTGAAATCCTAATTTTAATATTACTTAATTCTGGTTTTAGCTCTGATTTTGCAGAATTAAAATGATGCTTTTTATCCTAAGTGTTTGTCCTTTGTTGAAGATTTGGTATATTATTCAACATGCAACTCTTTGCTCCTGAAAAATTAACTTGTCTAGGTAACACTTTCTTAAAACATTTCCACATATATATATTTCTAGATTTTGTAGGAAGAAGGCCCCTGAAGCTGTGAAAATCCTGCTGCCAGAAGAGACCTCTGCAGCTGTAAGTATTTTGGACACATGTTTTTTTCTTTCTTACTACTAGACTGTAATAAAATATTGTATGGTGCTTCACAGTTACATTTTTATTGTCCCCTACATCACTTTAGATCATGTAGTTGAAGTTTGCAAAGAAAATAATGTGCTAAAATCTCTTAATACATTTAAATTACTTATTAACTTCACAGATTAATGAATTTGGATCTTTTTCATTGGGCAAATAAAATACAAAGTTTTTAAAATTACAGTACTCTTCAGTCAGTTGTATTAATGTATGCATTTTTGCAAGTAGAAAATTAAATGTTTCGGTTGATTCAATTTCTATGGAACCCCTTTTTGACAACAGTTGAAGAAGCCAAAACATGTCCTTATTTATTGTCTGCACTGGTGCCATAGGATGATCTTCCCAACTTGTTTCCACCCAAGTGTGCCAAGACCTTGAAGACAGAGGCAGCCTTTTTGGCCCTTTTGGCATAGGCACTCATAGCCTGTTACCATCTTCAATAGTTAGAGAGTGACAGGCTGAAATCAATTTTTTTGTCTGGTTCAATTTTTCTTTTAGTTTAATCTGTTTGCTGCTTGTACTTGTACTGTCTATGGAGAGTCTCACTTATCCAGGTCATGGTTGTCTATGTGCTTTTTCAAGAGGCAACTGGACTTTCTGATTTTTCTTTGAAGGTGTTTTGCTTCTTATCCAAAAAGTTTCTTCACAGCTTATACCGTTACATAGCTTATACTATTTCATCGAATTGCTCTGTCCCCTTTCGTTACACATGTGGAAGCTTTCAGGAGGCCTCCAGAAGTAACAATATGTCATTGTTATTCTCATGCCCAAGGTTTTGAACTGTGCAGCAAATATTGCAGTGGGACTGGCTATCGAGAAGGCCTGCAGTTGGCTTTCTACAAATATTTCAGGTATTCAGTTTTTCACTTTGAATTTTATTTAGTGTGAATCCTTAGTAATAAAGGCTAATCTAGGGTGGACTGAGACATTTAAACTATTGCTGTCACATGGTGCACTTTTATTTATAAAAGAATGTCTGTCAATTGTTTCATAACAACCATGTAAAATAATTAAAAGCTTGACAAAATAGTAATAACTTGCTTGCCTGCTATAAACTGACAATGGGTGAATCTAATAACTTTGTCTCTTGTTACCACTTTTATTTTGAGAATAAAAATGCAGTAAGTTCCTTCTTGTTCCTAGTTGTTTGTTTATGATTACTGAGCTCAGGCTGCTAGTTATTATCCATAAAGAGTTTGGTATAAAAATATCATATACTCCTATCCCAACCTTTTGTACCCCAACATTATTGTGGCTCAAGGACTGATAATAAAAGGGTAAAACTTTTTAAGTTTCAGAAATTCTCTTCTTAGGGCAGAGCCACTAGTTTACTGGTTGGACTATTTTAGCAATTTTTCAAATATTCCCCACATTATTCTTCCTTTTCAACTAACATTAAGGAAGCTGTAGATTCCAGAATTAATTCAGACTGAATGCAGAAATAGATAGGTTGTTGACAGAATAGCTGTGTGTTTATTTGTTTGTTTGTTTCTTACAGCCCTGATCAAAAGAGAAGTAAAAGCTACCTTCAGTCGCATGCTAAAAGTTCAGATGCTTTCCCAGTCCAGTGCCAATGAAATTACACTGAGGAAGAAGGACTGCCCCCCAAGCTGCCACCATCAAACAGCATTCCCTTCCCAGATAATCAGTGAAATCAAGGTCTGTCTCTGCTATTTTCTGCCCTTTGTCAGCAATTTGTGCCAAGTAAGGTCATTTTCCATTGTGGATTTTACTGTAGAATTTCTGTAGGTGGAAATTCTGTAGTATTGGTTGCTTGTTTGTGGGTGGCAGAAGCCTAGGGTTGAGGATTATGATTCTTGTCCATTGTGAAAAGTAGTGTTTTCAATTAGTTGAGATCCTAGAATACCTATATGCATCCTGAATCACACACGCTTCTGTTATTCTAGGATATACTCTGTGTTGCTATAGGCCCAAGAGAAGAAGATGAAGAAATCCAGTTTGCTGACTTGGAAAGTTTGTTGGGAAGGGTGAGCCAGACACTTCAGTGCAGAAAGGTAGCTTCATTTTTTTTAGAAAATTCAGCTTAAGTTGTTTTGTTTCTGATTTTGTGTCTTTTCCTCTAAAGAAAAATTCTTGTTGGGATATTTCATAGAACAGGGGTCCCCAAACACTGGGCCACAGACCACTAGTGGCCCCATGGCCTGTTAGGAACCAGGCTGCACAGCTGGAGCTGAATGGTGCGTGAGGAAGTGAAACCGAAACCATCACCATCACCATCACACACACACACACACACACACACACACACACACACACACACACA